AGTGTTATTTTCTTCTATGAATCTCACATATTAAATGTTTTTAATATATGCATATTTGTATTATGAATTAATCTCATAAAGTGTTTGTCATGTGAGAAATAATAGAAGGGAAACACTAAAAACAAAGCACAAATGAATTCCCAATAAAGTTTATACTTCATTTACAAAACCAAAATAAAGTTTAATTAAACTTCATACATTATCCATAATGAAGTTTTAAAAAGATAGAAATTAAGCACTCAAGGTATGTAGTGGATGATAAGAATCACAACAAAGAATAAATTTATCCAAAATACATTAGCATGAAACAAAATTGTTGCAGAGAGAATTACAGTAGTTCTAGAGAAAATTCCAGTAGTGCCATATTGAAGTTTTCTTTTTCATGAGAATGACATGCCTTTCTGATAAATATTTGAGTTTATCTATTCAAATATTAGTGTTCATGATAATAATGTATAATTTGACCATCTTCATATTAGTTTTCATGTTAATAGTGGAAGAGTCAGTTTAGAAAACCATTGCATTATTCATATTTAGGATATGTGATAACTAAAGAAACCATTGCATTGTACACATTTATTTCAAGAAATATGCAGAGGATAAAAATGAGTTATGAAAAATTCAGAGGAAATGTTTCACTTAATGTGATATTACTCACTTGTTTCATTCATAAATTAAGTAGTGTATGTGAATCTCACTAACATGAAGAAGCTTTACAATATTTTGCTTCTTTAAAACAATTGCTAATGATGTCTGAATAAAATTTATGTGAGATGTTGGATCAAACTCTAGTATGGTCGAAGTCTGTTCGCGAGTAATGTGTGTTGTAGTTGAAGTTTGTTCTAACACGCATTAGTCAATATTGCTAGGATTGTTAGCATGTTGATTTTGGCCTTGCTTGTAAGCCCAATTGTTTAAGTTAGCTTGTACCCTAAGTTAGCTTGTAATGGATAATTGTTAGAAAGCCCATTAGGTTAGTGTGCTATTTTTCTTATAAATAGGATACTAGTTTCTCAATCTTGTCATAAGGAAAAATAGGAAGATAAAATCCTAATTTCAAGAGAGAGAGAGGTTATTTGGTTATTCTTGTATACTTGTAATCTTGTTCTAAGAGAAAGGAAAGAATAACAGTTTAATAACCAATCCTTGTTATTTTCTTTTTTATTAACCCTAACCCTTGCGTGTTTCTTGATCATAAAGAAATTGTTCATACTTAGTTTTAAGGTATCTGATTCACAATAAATTGGTACGGTGAGCATGGAGAAGATGCCTTCAACAAAGTATGAGATTGAAAAGTTCATCGGAGTGAACGACTTCGGTCTGTGGCGCTTGAAGATGAAAGCTCTATTGGTTCACCAGGGTTGTTTGGAAGCGTTAAAGGGTGAGGCAGCCATGGACGTTGCGTTAACGATAAAAGAAAAGATCGGCATGATCGAGAAAGCCCACAATGCAATATTGTTGAGTCTTGGTGATAAGGTTCTTCGACAGGTATCAAAGGAGACTACAACATCGGGATTATGGGTGAAACTTGAAAGTTTGTACATGACCAAATCTCTGGTGAATCGACTTTACCTGAAGCAAGCTTTATATTCATTCAAGATGAGTGAAGACAAAGTGTTGGCTGAGCAGTTGGATATGTTCAACAAGTTGATTCTTGATGTTGAAAATATTGATGTGAAGATCGATGATGAAGATCAAGCACTGTTGTTGCTGTGTGCTTTGCCCATAACACATGCTCACTTCAAAGAAACTCTCTTGTATGGAAGGGAGTCCCTGACCTTTGAAAAAGTCCAATCATCCTTGTATTCTAAGGACTTGAACGAACGAAAGGAGCATAAACCTTCGACGATGGGTGAAGGTTTGTCCGTTAAGGGAAAATTCTTGCGAAAGGATGGTAAGTTCGACAAGAAGAAAGGTAAAAGTCAACAAAAGTCTTATAGTGGCGAAACATCTAGTATTCGATGTTATCACTGTAAGAAGGAGGGTCACATAAGAAAGGTGTGCCCTGAACGCCTGAAAGATTATGGAGGTAATAGAAATGCAGCCATTGTTTAAGATGACTTCGACTCATCTGATGTTCTTGTGGTTTCAAGTGGCGACTTGAGAAAAGAGTGGATTATAGATTCAGGTTGCACTTGGCACATGACTCTAAACAAAGAATTATTCGAGGAGCTATGTGATCAAGATGGTGGATCTGTGCTGCTGGGAAACAACAAATCTTGCAAAATTACAGGTATTGGATCTGTGAGATTCAAGCTCCATGATGAATCAATAATGTTATTGACTGAAGTTAGGTGCATACCTAACTTGAAGAGAAATTTGATTTCTCTTGGTGAATTCAACAAAAAAGGATACGTTTTTCAAGGAAATAAAAATATCCTAAGAGTCATGAAGGGGTCGAAGGAAGTCTTGAGAGGCGTGAAGAAACAAGGCTTGTATACCCTTAAGGTTGAGGTTGTAAGTGGTTCGACAAATATTGCATCCATGAAACCTATGTCGAAGAAGAATTATGGCACATGAGATTGGGCCATGTCAGCGAAAGAGGCCTGGTCGAATTGGGGAAGCAGAACCTGCTAGGAGGTGACAAAGTGGAAAACTTAGAATTTTGTGAATCTTGTGTATTTGGTAAATCCTGTAGGGCGAAGTTTAACAAAGGCAAGCAAATAACACATGGATCTCTGAATTACATTCATGCTAATCTTTGGGGGCCTGCAAGGAATCCTTCACACTCAGGTGCAAGGTATTTTCTATCCATCGTTGATGACTATTCCAGAAAGCTGTGGGTATTCACTCAAAAGACGAAGGGTGAAACTTTTGAGAATTTCAGGAGTTGGAAGATTCTAGTCGAAACTCAAATTGGCAGAAAGGTTAAGAGGTTGAGACATCCTGAAGAATGAAGACACCTGAAGAAGTTTGGTCGGGACATCCACCTAGTCTCGACAGACTGAGAGTATCTGGTTGTGTGGCCTATGCTCATATTAGGCAAGACAAGGTCGAACCTAAAGCTCTGAAATGCATGTTCAGAGGATACCTTGAAGGAGTCAAAGCTTATAGGCTATGGTGCCTAGATCCAGGTAACAGGAGGTGTGTCACCAGTCGAGATGTAGTTTTCAATGAAGCAGAGATGACTTTCAAGAAAACTGATGATGCTAACGAAGAACTGGAACAGAAAGAGATTCCTGTTGAGGTGGAGCATGTTGATGCTGAATTGTGTACCCCAGATAAAGTTAAAGAAGACACATAAGATGTTGTCGAAGATGAGGAGACTGATAATGACTACCTGCTAGTGGAGTATATTGCCCTAACTGAAGCTGTGAAGGAAGCATTATGGCTTGAAGGTTTTGCAAAGGAGCTAAAACTTCAAGGTCGAGTTATCACTGTTAAATGTGATAGTCAAAGTGCAATACACCTGTTGAAGAATTCAGCCTATCATGAGTGAACCAAGCACATTGATGTGAGGCTGCATTTCATCAGAGGGGTAATCGAGCGTGGAGAAGTCCAAGTGCTGAAGGTTTCAACAGATCATAATGTTGCTGATATGATCACCAAGATGTTGCCCAGTTGCAAGTTTTTCCACTGTATGCAGTTAATAAAGCTGCATGGAGAACGCTAGTTTCTTGATGTTATAGAGTTAGATCCAAGGTGGAGATTTGTGAGATGTTGGATCAAACTTTAGTATGGTCAAAGTCTGTTCGCGAGTAATGCGTGATGTAGTCAAAGTTTGTTCTAACATGCATTAGTCAATATTGTTAGGGTTGTTAGCATGTTGAATTGGTCCTTGCTTGTAAGCCCAATTGTTTAAGTTAGCTTGTACCCTAAGTTAGTTTGTAATGGGTAATTGTTAAAAAAACTCATTAGGTTAGTGTCCTATTTTTCTTATAAATAGGATACTAGTTTCTCAATCCTGTCATAAGGAAAAATAGGAAGATAAAATTATAATTTTAAGAGAGAGAGGTTATTTTGTTATTCTTGTATACTTGTAATCTTGTTCTAAGAGAAAAGAAAGAATAACAGTTTAATAACCAATCCTTGTTGTTTTCTTCTTTATTAATCCTAACCCTTGCGTGTTTCTTGATTATAAAGAAACTGTTTATACTTAGTTTTAAGGTATCCGATTCACAACAATTTACACCAGCAAAAACTAGTAAATGTCATTCGTAGCAAACAATGAATAGAATTTCAGAAAGGGTGGATAAAAGTCCCACATCGTTTCTCAATTAAAAACTTTAATATTTATATAACTTTAAAAACGTTTTAGTAATCTATGATCACTTGTGAATTGAATTGTTTATTTCTAGGCTTTGGCTTAGGCCCATCAACATTCTTTTAAAACTTAAACTAAACAATTTCAAACTATTCTTATTAAAAATAATTTTTTTGTCTTAATCACGTCATAAAATTTCTTTAAAATTGAGGGACTTAAAATTTTAAAACATAAAAATAAGGGAACAAAAATACATTTAAACTTTTAATTTATTATTTTCTCACCCTACATTAATTATAATTTAAATATATTAATAGTTGATCAATAATAGTTTAATAAAATCATTATTTTTTCTCTTTTATTTATTATATTTTTTTGATATGAGTGAGAGTGTCAAATATGACCCTAATTTATTATATATTTTTAATATGGTTGAGAGTGTCAAACCCTAATTTGAGATGAAGGGAGTATTGTTTAACATGATCGACAATGAAAGTACACATAACACAAATGAATAAACCGAGAAACAAACCCTAACAGTGTCACAGTGTCGTGCTTATTGATCTTGACGACAAAGAGTGACACATTAACTCTCCATGCATTCAACAAAACGTGTCATCTTTTCTGTTACACCCTATCGGTTGATGCGCATCTGTTTCTGTTTTTCACTTTAGAGTTCACTCAAATTCACCTAACAAAAATAACTTAACCAGATTCTCTGACATCAACTTTTGCCATACAACAGGTTTTTGTGTGAGTGAGAGAATCATTATTCAAAAACTGAAGAAAAATAACAATGGCCATGATGATGAGCACGATGGTTGCACTTAATTTCACATCTGATGTGGAAAAAAATATGGCTCATGATCATGCACAGGTTGTTTCTATAACACTATTTGTCGCTGTTCTTTGCCTACGTTTACTCATTGGTCACTTGCTTGAAGAAAGTCGATGGGTTAATGAATCGATTGTCGTCATTTTTGTTGTAAGATCCATACTCATTATGAAATCTAGAATTTCTATTTCTGTTAATATTGTTGTCTCGTCATAATTCCTATTGTTAATCATGAACGGTTGAAAATTTAGTTGATTTCACTGATAAATTAGTCATGAACATATTCAAGTCATCGACACCAATAACAATTTTAGGAAAAATAAGTAAATTGAACGTAATTATATCTTGTATTGGTGTTCGACGCTGACACATGTGAGACATCAGACAATTCTTTGTTAAGAGGTCTCGGTGCTAATATACTATTTGCCTCTAACATGTTCTCTTTGGTAGAGATGCATTGCTGGACTGGTTATATTGTTAATAACTAAGGGAAAAAGTTCTCGAATCCTTACATTTAATGAAGAAGTATTCTTCATATATCTCCTTCCTCCTATAATATTCAATGCAGGGTAAAACTTTCTCTCTTGTCTTAGACTTGAAGCATCTCTTGACATTCCAGAGTTTGATGTTTTTGACTTATCTTTTCAAATAGATTTCAGGTGACGAAGAAACAGTTCTTCCATAACTTTTTGACCATCATGATGTTTGGAGTGGTTGGTGTTTTCATTTTAACATCTATTATTATCGGTGGTAATGACTAATGACTACTCTTTTAGTTTTTCTCTTTTGTTAAACTTGTAGCGTTATCATTATGATAATTTTCATGGATTCACCTTACATTTGGTTCATCTAGGCAGTTGGTGGCTGTTTCCCAAGTTGGGTTTCTCTTACGTGACGGCGCGAGATTATCTTGGTAAGATTAATTGCATCATCTCAATATTATGCAAAAACACATAGTATTTTTATTCGGTTGGTATGTTTCAGGTGTAATATTTAAATTGGACAGTAGTACTCAAATAAAAATTTTAATCTTAAATCCTAAGCTTCAATAATAGAATGGTACTGCACAGCCAATGTATAGTAGGAAACGTCGGTATAATTTGTCGAAATTTGTGATCAAATTTCAACTGTTTATTGTTTGTGTTTTTCTTGTCTATTTTCTTTTGAATTAGAGTTTTTGTTATAAAAATAATGATTAAAAATCTATATATACATATTTGGATCACAATTTTTTTATCTTAATTTGATTCAGCTTTAGGAGTAATTTTCTCCTCAACCGACACTGTATGTACGCTACAGGTTGGTTAGATTTGTGAACAAGCAGTAATTTTCTCCGTTTAATTATATATCCACATGATCTTCGTTTCAACACTGCATTTTGAGGCTGTTGTAGGTTCTTAATCAAGAAGCTACTCCTTTACTATACAGCTTAGTCTTTGGGGAAGGAGTGGTAAATGATGTAACATCAGTTGTACTCTTCAATGCAGTCCAACAGCTTGATGTTTCAAGACTTAACGGAAAGGCACTTCGTGTTATTGGTGATTTCTTGTATTTATTCGCAGCAAGCACTACGCTTGGAGTCATAGTGAGTACTGTTAAATGAGAATCGTAGGAAAAAATTGACTAAGACTTGATTTTTCAAGTGTTATTAGTTGAATTCACGGCTTCCTATATAATTTTTTACTTAGTCGATTGCATTATGCTCGTAGTTTTATCTCGAGAATTCATGTTTACTTAGATGAATTCTTTTTTATGCAGGCTGGACTTGTCACTGCATATATCTTGAAAGCGTTAAGCTTTGGAAAGTATGTACACTTTTCTCTATAAGCTCTCTAAAAATAATATTTAAAGATTGATCTGAAATGTAAACATCAAAGTTCGACAATCCCATTTCATATTCTTGAGTTATGAAGGTGAAAATTTGAGGACAAATTAACAAGTTTTCCCCTGTATATGCATGCAGACATTCAAGTGTTCGTGAAATTTCAATGATGATGTTAATGGCATATCTATCCTACATGGTGGCAGAGGTATTGGATGCTCACTATTTTGTCTTTTGTTGATTTCAAACCAGTTACACGCCTAAAGAACTATGGCCCAGTTTGAATAAACAACTTAGTTAAGCACTTAAAAAATAAGTGTTTATTAAATACTAGTAAGCTCTTATGTATAAGCTATTTCTACAACAAAAATAAGTTGTTTCATAAGTTCCATATAGGGTCTATTTAGATGGACTTATTTGAGCTTATGTAGTGACATAGATTTTGTGAGATTGTTTCGGAGAATTTATGAAAACAATTTAACTTTATTTTATCTTTTACTGTAGAAATACCTTATGTAAACTTATATATAAGTGTTTATCAAGATAACTGCTTTTTCTATAAGCTGCAAATAAGCTATTTATCAAATTTTTATACAAGTACTTATAATGGCAGAAAAATTCAAATAAGCTTGTTAAAACATACCGTCATATAACTTAGAGATTTTTGCTTTTTATTAAGTTTAGATAGCAGAACCAAAGAGACACGCCCAACAAAGTCACCTTCGCCTTGGGCAGAGCAAAAGGGAATTATTTAAAAGTAAGTCCTAACAATGCAGTTTCGCCTTGGGCAGAGCGAGAAAATTTTAAAAACAAATGTTTTACTTTGATATATGAACGACAGCAGGGGCCTCAACCACACTCCAGTTCTTAACCAAAATAACTGGGGTTACAAAGTCTGGAACATCCCCATCTAAATCTTCCTCGGTCACAACGTAGACTCCAAATCTATAGTCAAACTCATCTGAAACATAATCTGGATCTTCCATATAGGGCTCATAATCTTCATAAGGAATGGAGGACCTTGCAGAACCATCTGATATGTAACCTTCATGCTCATCCTCTAACACAACATTAACTTGAGGATGATGTACGACTCCTCCACTATGGAACACTTCATTAATCAGCGGAAATCCTTGATTTTTGGTAGTTTGTTGAGCAGAACTGCTGGTGAAACCAAGTCCTTCTTTATTTTTGTTCTCTGGCAAAGACAACACCTTGCCCCAAATTGTCTGAGGACCGCCGTTCACTACACGCTGTGCGTCTTTGAATGATGACATACATGCTCTAGATTTCCGGATACCCTCGCCCACAATAGACAAAGTTTGAAACTGCGTACCAACTTTCTCCTCAGCTTCAACATACGAGAATGATGACAAATGACTCAACACTAAGGCTCGTTCTCCATAAACTGTGACCGTTTTTCCTTCAAAAACATATTTCAACTTCTGATGCACGGTGGAAGTAACTGCCCCAGCTTCATGTATCCATGGCCTCCCTAACAAACAGCTATAGGCGGCACGAATGTCCATGACTTGAAACGTGATCATAAAAGTTTGTAATCCAATAGTTATTGGAAAATCTATCTCGCCAATTACTGTCTTCCTAGACCCATCAAAAGCTTTGACGATAACATGACTTGGCCCCATCGGCGGTCCCTGATAGGATAGCTTAGATAGAGTGGTTCTAGGCATCACATTTAGAGAAGATCCAGTATCAACTAACACACTGGATAGAGAATCATTTCCGCAGTTCACAGAAATATGTAGAGCCATGTTATGTCTCTTCCCTTCTTCTGGGAGATCGTCCTCATTGAAACCCAGATTGTCACATGAAGTAATACTACCAATGATGTTGTCAAACGTTCCATAGTTACATCTTGTTCAACATATGCTTGCTCTAAAATCTTCTGGAGTGCTTCTCTATGAGCCTCAGAACTCATCAGCAATTGCAACACAGAAATCTTCGAAGGGGTTTACAGAAGCTGATCTGCAACCTTATATTCACTTCTCTTGATCACTTTTAGACATTCATCTGAATTGGACAAATTGGATCCACCAGATTGCCCCACAATTGGATCTTTTGAGCCTAGTTGTTCAAATGAGACCTCCTTTTCTTTTGGTGGTACAGTCGGGTAAACTCGACCACTCCTTGTTACTCTGCTGACATCTGCGATGTTAACTACTAAAGGTACAATGGGCAAAGGCACTTCCTTTCCATTTTCCAACATTGTGGCATTGTATCTGTATGGGATAGAAGTGTAAGGGACGGGCCCAGGCACGTTGATTACCAAAGGAGTAACAACCGGCTTTCTGCTATTATAAACGATTTCGATACGCTCCACTTCCTTAAAGTGAGGCACTATAACACAAACTTCTTCAGCCCTTTCATCTGAAACTTCCTGATCATCGTCTGCCAAATAGTCTTGATTCATGTTGACGGAGGGTGAACCATGCGGGGGTAACGAATTAACCTGCACATTAGGGTCAGAATCCTTGAAGGACAAAATTCCGCACTTAATGAGCCTCTGGACATCTGTTTTCATACCAAAACAACTCTCAATATCGTGTCCTGGAGCACCCTGATGGTAAGGACAAAACATGTCAGCTCTATAAGAAGGAGGAGGATTCGCGGGGACCATAGGTGGAGCTTTTGTCTGAATATGACCCTTCTGGATCAAAGCTGGAAACAAATCAACATATTTCATAGGAATGGGCTCAAAGTTTATCTTTCTATACACATGACCCTGATTGTTGAATGGCCGATTCTGCTGAGGATACTGCGGATTTTGTTGAGCCTGTGGTTGTTGAGCATTGGGGGATTGAGGCTGCTGACTCGGTTACGGAGACTGTAGTTGATAAGTTGGAGCATTAAACACTGGTGATACTGCTGCAACTTGGTGTGATGGCGAATACCTTTTTCTAAACTGTCCCTTTTGAACGACGTTTACACCCTGCTCTTTTTTATTCACAAAACCACTTCCATACTTCTTAGGAGCACTTTCCTCTTTAGCCAATCTTCCTTCACGGACACCTTCTTTTAAACACATTCCCATATTAACCATTTCAGTAAAGTCACTGGGTGCACTTGCTACCATTTTCTCATAAAAGAAAGGACCAAGGGTCTTTAGGAAAATCTTGGTCATCCCTTTTTCTTCTAACGGTGGTGTGACTTGCGCAGCCAACTCGCGCCAACGTTGGGAATATTCCTTAAAATTCTCCTTATCTTTCTGCGTCATAGCTCTCAATTGTTCTCGGTCGGGTGCCATATCCACGTTATACTTATACTGCTTGGCAAAGGCTCCCCTTAGATCATTGAAAGTTCGAATCTTCGTACTACCCAACCCCATGTACCACTTGAGTACAGCGCCTGTCAGACTATCTTGGAAATAGTGAATGAGCAATTGATCATTGTCAGTTTGTGCAGACATATTCCTAGCATACATGATGAGATGACTCTGAGGACAAGTATTTCCTTTGTACTTCTCGAAATCAGGGACCTTGAATTTCGGTGGAACCTTGACATTTGGAACCAAGCACAGCTCATAAGCGCTTTTTCCAAACAAATCCTTCCCACGAAGGGCCTTCAACTCCTTTTGTATCTCAGAAAATTGGTCTTGAAATCCATCCATCCTTTCTTCCAAACCCACAGAGTCGGTCGGCGACCCATGTAAAATTGGCTCATCCAGAATATACGGAACAACATTGACATGCGGAGGTGCAGTAGTCATCACAGCAGTAACTGCAGGAATAGCTTGGACAGTGGTCACAGCGGGGATCTCAGGCACAGATGGACGGTAGCCGGTCGAAAAGAAATTAAGGGACAACCCCCACGAGAAACCTTGAGGCATGCTATATGTCACTTCGGCAACAGAAAACACCACTGGGATCAGTGTCGGTGTCACTTCAGAGATCACAGTCCTTTGAACATCTTGGTTGTTGAGTGCGGCTTGATTGGACAGAGCTTCCACTAGACCATTCAACCTCTCCAAACTTTATTTCAGAATTGCAACTTCATCACGGAGCACCTTGTTCTCTTGTTCAAGCTGGTCCATCTTTTGGCGTTGATTGGCTCGAGTGTTGTATTGGTGATTCAACTTGTCTGTTGAGATGAAGGAAGAGTGAGACCCTGAAATGCGAACAATGATATGCTTATGCAAAATGCAAATGAGTATGAAACTTTAAGAAACTCAAATTATCTTCTGTATTATAACGTTGGAAGAAAAAACTTATATATTTTGATATTCGAGAAGCATTACAAAGTAAAGTACTCTTTTAAGAGTTTATTACATTGAGCCAAAAGCGAAAGAGAACTCAGAGATCTACTCCCTATGCTCCTTCTGTGCACGAAGTTCTTCTTCTAACTGGATGACGCGTTCTTGCAATTCGGCCTTCTCACTGATGAGCCGATCTACACATTCTTTCCAAGCCATAGTAGTTAGGGGAAGATCATCACTGGTGACGGTTTCGGAAGAGGTATGAGGGGAAAATAAATCCTCCCGCGCCTTCCTCTTCTTTGCAAATTCTATCTCTGGCAGCTTCTGGGACTTCTCTTTCTCCACTTTGAGGGTGAAAAACTTGTTCCTCCAAGCGGTCTTCAATTTTCGAGCCTCATCCAAGGTGGCTTTCAACTGATCTACTTCACTTACATCAAACCAATCAGGATCATGAAAAGTCAATACCATAGGTTCATGAAAAGGGAACGACATCTTGAGGTCGAGATCCCTCTCACGCACCCAACATAGATAGTCTTCAGAGACGGCACAATTAGGGTATCCTAAAGCAGTCATCCCTTCCTTATTGACGTATCTCCATGCGTAAATTATGACGGTCTTCAGGTCTGGATCTTCTCCTTCCTTGAGAAAGATTCCTTCCAACAGAGCTTGGTCAGGTATTTCGATCATGGGATGCCCAAATTGTCTGCGGGCCAAAGCGGGATTGTAACTTATGCATCTTTCTCTCCCAATGAGCGGTATGTTGGTGAATCCTCCGGTGCTAGGAATCATACATACACCTCCATAAGCAGGGTCATACCACACAATATCAGAGTGAGTAAAGGCCATAACTATCTCGGACCAACGGGGTGTTTCTATCTCTTCCCAAATAGACGGATGTCGAGTTAGGCGAGCGATGAACCATGAATACAGCAAAGCGATACAACAAACGATATGTCCTCCCCCTTCAACATTCTTCGAGTGGATTGAATGGTACGTATCAGCTAGCAAGATAGGAACTGGATTCCTGA